AAATTTGAATTTAGTTTATTTCAGTGCTGCTTGGATGTCTTTATAATCTGTTTAGGTCATATTTTTCAACCCATTCAATTTTTTCTATTTCTGAACTAATACATCACAGTATTTGCGACAGTTTAGGGGCACTAACAGAGAAGGCCCTATCTCCTCTGAGCTTCCGTTTGGAACTGGGAATGACCAGGAGCAGCTGGTCAGCAGACCTGAGTGACCGAGGAGGAGTGTAATGGTGAAGAAGCTCTGTTAAATAAGATGGGGCGAGGTTGTTTAAAACCTTAAAAACAAACAGAAGGATTTTAAAATGGACCCTAAAACACACAGGTAGCCAGTGGAGGGAAGCCATGAAGCCCTCCCCATTTACCTGGACGGCAGCAGAGATAAACTTGTCCTTGGTGGTTTAACTGYGTATGTACACATTTTACCTGCTTATTGTTATGCGACGTTTGCAAGCAATTTGCCTCTTTTGAACGGTTCCTTATAGCGAACGATAAGAAACGAGTTGCGTAAAGTAAAAGGTAATATCTTTTTCCTCATTCCTCCTTTGCTATTTCACAGAAAACAGGCAGAGAGGTGGAGTACAGCAGCTCGGAGGAAAGGAGGAGGAGGGGTACCGCCCAGGTGACGGACGGCGTACGTGATGATGTATATCCCTACGTGATGACATCACTCTCAAAATCCACCGACTCTACGAAACAAACGGCTTGTTAAGATCCAAATCCCTATAAAGAGCCATTAGTCCCATCTCTACTGCATGTACACATTTTTATTGCTTCTTTACCCCATAAGATGACGTATATCAGCAAAAATGCAGCAAGCCTCAACTTGATGTGTAAACAGCTGTTTAGTTGACAGCACAATTTCCTTATAGTGGCCACTGTGGTGACTGTAACCAAAGCTTTCTGCTTAGTCTATTCTCATCAGACACATAGCTGAAGGCTCATTATCACAGCTATTATTTGCTGTCTGGTTGGTAAGACATGTAAGGCCGATGTCAATCAATTAACAGCACAGCAATGTTTTTTTTTATTATTATTAACAATGTAAAACAGAACAACAATAATACAACTCTCGTTAAGGGTAAAAAAAAAAAACCGGGGGCCAGCTAAAGGATATTACAGAAAGAAAGAAAAACCGACTGAGCAAAATGATAGTGAGAAAGTTAAAACAGTAAATGTGAAGAGATCTGGTGTGAGATGATCTTGGCTGATTTCCAGTTTTTTAATGTTCTTAATGAAGAAAAGTATACTTTAAATTCGTTCATAAAACAGGGGAAGGAGGGCTTGGTACAGCACAGCAATGTGACGTCAGGGAAGCTCCATCATCCAAGCTGCTTCAGTTGATAGGTTTGATTGGCTCAGCTGTGGTGTCTGACCCCGCCCACACCTGAACCCAATCACCAATCAGAAGAGGGAGGCCACTGCTCGGGCTCCAAGCTGTCACACAGACCGGAAACTCATATCTGATGGCGAGTCCCAAGTTCAGCTAACAACTTTAAGAGGACAGTTTCTGTTCTTGTCCAGACGTGTAGCCTATTGATATAAGTGGAGCTGGGAGCATTTCCGGTTTATATGAAGACGTTTGAGCAATATATCACTGAACTCTTTCTTTGATAACCTGTCATCTCCCTGACAGAAAAACAAACTCACCGGCCCGGTTGAGGAAAACGCTTAAACTAGAAATAAATTAGTTTTTTTTTTCGCCCCTAAAACTTACACATTTTTGTTTGGACACATTTAACTTGTTGTGTTTTAATGTAGTTCAGAACAAAGTGAGACGTGTCGGCTTCGCGTACCTTCTCCTCCCTCGGCGCCCCGYGGTTCTTGCTCTCTTCTCTCCTCTTCTCGGCCGTCAGCCATGACTCCAAAGGTTTATGTTTCAGCCCAAAATAGATCTTAGCTTTGTTTCAATGTGTGATACACTCCTGGCCGAGGAAAAACGAATAAAAAAAGTATGTAACGGGATAAGTCCTCGTCGCTTTGCTTCTTAGCTACTTTTGTTTTTTTCCCTTCATTCAATACGGAAGTAATACGGAAGTAACAACCGGGTCACGGCACTCCTCACTTTTCCAAGAAACAATTTACTCTGWGGAAAACTTGTACAGGACACATCTCAGTCATGTTGAAACTAGAACGCTGGAGAAACTCTATCACTGGAGTTTTTCAATTGTGTTGTAACACTCTTATCACGTAAAGTAACATTAAACATATATAGCAACAACAGTGGTATAAAACACATGTGCACAATAAGTTTATTTTTCTTAATACAGCCTGAAATTGTGACATTCTCAGAATGTGCTTTAAGATGCAAAAGATAAAGAAAAAAGTTGCAACTGTGTGGAAACAAACGCCGCTACTTCGTGTCCATTTAAGGAAGGTCTCATTGGCCGCTGTCGGTCCTCAATGTATGGAAGACCATTTATGCCACATTAAAAAAATAGACGCGTGGTACTACAGAAACACTAGAATCTTGGCTTAAAGCTGCTGTATGTAGTTTCTTGGGAACCCAAAAACTTAGAAAAATTTTGAACAGAAACAACCTTGTAGTCCCTCCCCCCTGCTCTCAGCTCCCCTTCCTAGGCTCCTCCCCCACAGCACGGCACAGTCGGGAGCGAGCACGCTTGAAAACAAGAGGTGATCTCACCGTAACACACAGAGCTCAGAGCTAAGCTGCCGTCACGGGTAAGAACCATCAACAATATATTTTTAACTATCATGT